TTTGCTTTATTGGGGGGGTCTGGGGGGCTCCGAAAACCAGTCGGTATCTGGTGTGAGGGTTAGGGTTAGGGTTAGGGTTAGGGTTAGGGTAGGGTTCTGCTCACTATCACAGATGTTTTCAGATTTGTGAACAATATTTGAGAGAAATGGTTATTTTGTGTATATAGAAAATGTTTTAGATCTTTGAGTTCATCTCATGAAAAATGGGAGCAAAAACAAAAGTGTTGCGTTTATATTTTTGTTCAGTGTATGTAAGAGAATGCATGGTACATGAAGAATTTGAAGAATCAAACTATTTGTACAGATCTTGTATGAACCATCGTAGGAGGATAGCTTGATATTACATCTGTAAGCTATTTTTCTTTTTGTGTAAGAAATAATTACAACAATATTGTTAACTAACTAACAGTGCTGCCTTGGGTGTGTAAGCAACTACTGTGTTGTGTTGTGTTGTGTTGTGTTGTGTTGTGTTGTGTTGTGTTGTGGGGATAACACTCATCATTGTGTGGGATCTATTTTTAGATTGTTAATCAAGGTAACATGTTCAGATTGACACACTCAGTATGATATCCCATGAAGTGTGAGTAGAGTGAGATCGCTTCATTTTCGCTCATCATCCGGAAGTAACATAATAGAGTTTGAAATCATGTGTGTGAGAGTGCATGCAGGTTTGTGTATTTTCTTACATTGTAATTTGTTCTTAACTCCATTTGGTTCCCGGAGGTTCCCTCAATTCCTGACTCTCATGATAATGAGACAATATCTGAGGTTATATTTGTAGTCTCATAAGGACTATTAACAATAATATTGGCTGTTTACTCTATTTGGTCTCGGCTAAGAGAGTTCTACTCGGTTGCCTTTGACTCTCTGTGATGATTTGAATTGATAAATGCTACCTTTTCAGACAGGCTAATAATAAGATCTGGTATGCTGCACTGAGAGTTGTTATCAAATCACAGTTTAATTCACATTTAGTCACGAACAGCATAAGCATTTGTCAATGACAACACTGTTTTGATTGACAGGTGCAGCTTTATAGAATGACTTGCCTACGAAATAAAATGTAATACTTAGGAATTTCCAGTTTTACCTTCTACATGTTGCGAGAAGTTTCAAACGCATCCACACTGGAGAGCAATTTCGAAAAGCTGGAAATTGATAATCCCAGTGTAGATAAAAGACAAAAAAAGAGAAAATGTTAAATGTTGTAACAAGGTGTTCGGGTTGTCTAAGATGAGTGATTTTTAGAGTTATATTGAATGGGTTTCTTTCTTTCAATCTAAATAGGTTTACTCACGTGGTAGTCCTGTCATCTTTTGTCATCAAAGCTTTGTAATTGGTCCTGCTGTGTTTGGGCACATGTCCGGCACTTTCACACAGATTTCACAGTGTGTTAAAACTGCCACTTGTCAATCGAACATAAGACTAAATTCTGCTTTAGCACAGCTTGCCAAAGAACAAGAAGTTGAAAATGGCCAAGCAGGACAGACAGCGGGTGTGGATTGGTTTTCACAGCAGCTGAACATGACACTGAAAGCTGATAATGGGATAGTGTGGAGAGGGATCATGCAGAAGCTGTTTGTGTTGCTGTTCGTGTTCTTAGGGATATGGTTGCACTTGTCTTCGTTCTGGAATCTTCTTTACATGTTATTATATGTTGGTGATAAAACGAGCTGAATTTTAAATGTGAATTTATTGTAGTGTTATCAGAAAATCTGACAGTAACAAATCATTGTCTATAGGGTGTTAGTTTACAGCTGACCAGTATTTCTCTCTGTGTTTTGATTCCATGATTGTAGAGGAAATGAAGCAAAGAGCAATAATGCATCTTTCTGTCCAGCTAGTAGAGAGTCTTAAATCTACATATTTGCTAAAGACAAAGGCCGATGAGATGAGAATGGTCTTTTGTTGTTTTTATAAAATGAATTATTCAACCTTATATTGTCAGCTGTAAGCATGAATTCAGGAAAATAAAGATGAAAAGAAAGAAACCTGGATCGGAGGTTAGCCACGCAGGTACCTGTTTAAAATGCATACCTTATTGTGAATTTATTTATTTCGGAATATGCATCTCCCACTCATGGATATTGAGTGGGAGAAATATCATCTTTTTCGTACTTGTTTATGTAGTTATATTCTCTGCACTGATGCTCTTTGGATTTTTCAAATGTGTTCTACATGTTGGTTGCTTTGCAGTATAAGTGTTTTATTGCTTGGTAAGTAGTGGGAGTGCCAGGAAGGAGGTAGGAGGAAGTAGTTCACTATTATGCTTTATCACCCTCTCTTCTTAGGCGGAGTTGAAGATTTTACAAGTACTCTTTATATTCATATACGCAACAATGCAGGGCACTCTGTTGTGTAAAGGGATTCTGATTCTGATTCACAAATGTAAAAATTGAAAGGTCAGTTAAGGTGACATGAGGAGAGGAACGAATCTCTGGAAAACCAAATAACATTGTGAGGATTTGTGTTGACCACAATGCATCTGCAGGGTGTTGTGAGATGCACTCTCATTCCAGAGTACTACAGGATTTAAACACTTTTGATGCTCACATTAGGTTAATATAAACTATGATTATTCATTGTTGCATGTTTAAAACCAAATTTCGATTATATACTTCAATGTTTTTTAAGTCCATAAACTAGGACAAGGGCTGATGTATTGAAATGAACATGTTTTTAATGTTGTATGTACCTGTACATTCAGATAGAGAGTGGTGAACTCAATTTCATTACGGAATCAAAAGAACTAGAAATCGACATTTGAAAAAATCAGTAAATGTCAAATGTCCGAGGTGCTCTGGTTATTCGGTAGACCTCCATGTTAACTTTTTTCATTATTACTTTCATTAGAAAAAGTCAAACTTCCAGAGTAGTTTTTTTCCATGGTATATTTTACCCATTTTTGCTTCTCAGTACCTTTCACTCAAGTCCTAAAAGCTCTATCAGATGTCCCAGTAGATTTCAATGAAACCATTGAATTTAATCTTTTTTAGCCATCTATTTCTACAGTTATTTAAATAAGAGTGGACTTGATATTTTTGGCCGATTTGTACTTATGTTAGTGGGGCCTTAAGATAGCTGCAATAACTTTATCACTCACGCATCTGCAGGCTCCATCTTAGCTAAAGAGCCTGACCATTAATGGACCTAAAAGAATGTCCACTATTGGCTTACTGGTCTATTATTAAATATATATACTCAGAGGTCAACCATTTGATGAGCACACAAGTGTACACACACATGCACACGCACATACACAGACACACATTCTGAACAAATCTTCTTAAAGCACCCCTGCGTCTCTTGTAGTTCAGTCCAACTGTGAGGAGATATTGCTTCTTCAAGGGTGTCCTTGCTCAAGGAGAAACTGTATACAGGCCATCAAATCCAAACCAACACAACTCTGTTCTTGGACAAATAAAAAAAGACTCAGAGACAGGCATAAAGTGCATTTGTTCAGATTTAGGTTGATAACCAGTGTTCTCCACTAACTCAGGCTCTATACTCGCCATCGATCCACAGATCTGTAAATTGCATTAATCTCATTGTTGACAATGTGTAGATGTGGTGTGTGCTTCTTGGTACTCTCTTTGAATAGCAATCAGTTTGTTCCACAGTTCTCCAGAACTCCATAATGCATGAGATGTGGGACTACTCTAGGGGATCAGTGTATGTGTATGTGCGTTGTGTATGTAGGGTACTGAAAGGACAGCTGATGTGTAAAGCTTTAGCAGCGCCAAAAAGGCAGACATGTGTGTTAGTTTGTAATCAGACAGCTACACTTCATTACCTGCACAATGACTTTCACACACACAATGAACAATGTATGTGACTCCATGCCCCCCACATCCACACACATAATCTTTTCAAGCAGTTGGAGCAGTAAGTGGGACAAATGACGTGCAAAGAGCCACGTATTCTTCCATCTCTTTGGCCAGCTAACCTCCCGCTAGTTTGAATGACAGCTGAGAGTGAAACCTCAATCAACGTCCCCCCCTATCTTCCAGGGAAATTCAAAATCCACCCTCATAATTTGCGTCCTGCTCTGCCCTCTCTCTTCTCTTCCCCATCACCCCTCGCCACCAACCGCCCCTCTCTCCGAATTGCCACTCCACTCTACTCCTCTCCGGGGACACAAAAGTGCCTGCAGATGCTCCAATCGACTCTACAGTAATAAATTGTATGTAGTCAGTTAAGCTGCACGACTGCCAACTGGCAAGGCTGCAAACCTCTGCTTTGGGAGAGAGCTTGGGAAAAAGAAAGGTTCTTCCAAATTGGATTCACCTTCAGCAGTGAGCTCACTTGAAAGCGATGTCCAGGCCAGAGTAAATGATGAAAGAGTATTGAAGGAAAACAAGGATTTATAGCCCGCGGAGAAAGAAGGATAAGAGACACTTAGAGAAAGAGCGAAAGAGAGAGTGTGACGGAAAGAGGGGTTAGATAATGTAAACAGGAGTCGGGTCATTGTTGCAATTTGTCATAGTTTACACAAAAAAACCACGAAGAGTCTAGGAGCTTTGGTCAGACTTATGTCGTTATATAAATTAAAAAATATCCTTTGGTTATAGAAATTTCCTTGTTCTATATTTTCATTAGAGCCGTCAGTCTGCCTTTTCAGTTAAAACATTATTCATTCTGGGGTAAACAGACCAAGTGAAACCCCTGCTGCAGTCCCTGTATGCTTTCCTGTTAAAAGTTTACTACATGCAGCGCACAAGCTGTTCCAGATACAGAGCTGAATACTAAGGACTCCATACACAGATCTCCGGAGAGTGGGGAATATATGTCACACAGCTCTGAGGGGATAGGCATGTTTATTATTAGACCTCTTTGGAAATGCTGTGCCCCATGCCAGGTTCCTCATACCCTGGCGCTGAGGGCATGCCGACTGTGTGAGACAGGAAATTGAAAGCCACTTGTTGTTGGAGGGCTTTTTGGAGGAACTGAAGTCGGCGGATGATAGAGTGTGGTATGGACATATGGCCGAGTGGTGGAGGGATCACATTTCCTCCCCACTAAAGGTATTACAATGAGAGCAGGAGAGCAGATTAGGAGACAGACACAGAGAGGATAGAGGAGGCAGGCTGCTTTAGGATTCAGTGCCACTCTTCAAGGTCAGTGCACTATAGAAATAATTTAAAGCAACATACCTCTTTAAAAAAAATAATCTTTTTTTTCACATTCTTAATCACATGATGTAACAAAACCTGCCAAAACAGTCAATTGCCAATCAATTATGTAATTGCTTGGTTCGTCCTTTTACCTGATTGCAAAGTAAGCCAATTTTGGAAATGAAGTCTGCCAAGTTTTATGTTGGTGAGCTTTGAGGTGGATATATTCAAATCTGAATCCTTCATGGGGCTTTTCAAAACCCATAAAGCACCTCAGAGACTGGTCCAACACCTGCCTTGTTCTCTAGACGGCTCCCTCGGCTGTGTCTGTTTAGCGGTAATGATCTAAGCCATTCACACCCACCACCAATGTGTTCTCGCTCCACCTTTTTCTTCTCTACCGCATGCAAATAAATGCAACAGGAGCCCCCATTTGGGATTTAGATGGAGAGGGAATATATGAGAGAGAGAGGGAAGCTATAGGGACACGTAGATGGAAGGAGATTCATGTAAAGAAATGAGGGGAAAATGGGAGAAGAAATAGAAGAAAATAACATGAGAGAGAAAAAAGGGAATGGATGGGGCAGATGAGAGAAGGGATGAAAGGGGGGAGAGGGGAAGTAGCAGAGGGAGGTCATTGCTGGTGCTGAAATCAGAGACTGGAAGTGAAGAGCTGTGAGAATAAAAGCAATTTGCATCACTGCTCCACTGAGCTTTCCAGTGCCTTTCATTTACCCCCCTCTGAACCCCCNCGCTAGCTCCGGTCCTTTTTACTGTGGACTCGATGTCCTGACAGGCTGGTATTTGTGCAACCTGCACAAACACAATACTGCACCATGATTACAAATGGTGAAATACAATGTAAAACTACCGAAAAAAATACCAGCTCACTAAAACACAACCGCTCAACTCAACGCAACTATTAACTATACCCGCGGTCAGAGAGCGGAGATGTTTCCCCTTTGTGATGTAATATGACGCGTTTGACGTATGACCTTAAAAAAAAGCCGTTTTTAAGAGCAGAGCTCAAAATTGCTCCTTTCACTCTGAATTCCTGCCCTTATGTCTCGTAAAACATATCAAATCCTACACTCACTTTTTTAATTGTAATTTTCAAGCAAGTTTAAGCATAAATGTAGAAAAAACAACAACCTGCAAGATGCTCTTTAAAGCCACCAAAAAAACCTAATAATACATAGGCCTAACTCAAGGAGCCTGCCTCAAGTGGCCATGTGATGAACACCAATTTTGACATAACATTACAATGCTGTTGACTTGTTTATGCATCAATATTAATTATCGTTAAATTATGTAAAAGTATGACGCTGGAACGGGTATGCTGCAGATCCCGTTTCTGAATGGCTGTCCCGGAAAATGGTGCGTTTGGTCACGCTTTCCTTCAGAAGTAACATTGTGTTGTTTAGCGTGTATTTTGCAACTTTTTTATTAATTTTACCATTGCCTGGGCTATTGTTTTTATTTGATGTGTTGACTTAAGAATCTTAAACTCCATGTGGATGTTTGTGTTTTTCAAACTAAAACTCTTAAGTTTAAAAACTAGCTTACAGCTAACGTTAAAGGGCACATGTTGTAACTCCCATGATGCTCTTGGGAGCTGAATGAGCAGGAAAGACAGTGGCAACAGGAGGACTGAGGGGGTGATTAAATGTCGCTTACCTCCTCAAACAGCTCGAGGCTGTATGTGTTGTCATCATCCGCGAAGAACACCACCCCGGTGTCCCGCCTGTTCCGGTGCTGGCGGAGCCAAATTAGAGCCACATTTCTCTGTTCAGTGGCGCGTGGCATCCCGGTGCGCTTGAACCTGCGGGGAGTGAACACGTGCAGGTGCGTGTACGGCACGCCGCACCGCGCCAAGAAGCGCGCCACCAGCTCCGTGTTAGTGGTCGAGTCCTCCACTACGATCCAATGCAGCCGGGGCACCTGCCTGAAGGCGTGGGACAGACGGGTGAGCTCCGCTTTCTGCACCGGACGGGTGTAAGTCGGGGTGATGGCGTAGATAACCGGGAGAGCGGACTGGTTCTGGGTGCCGGTCCCCCCCGGTGTGCCGGTCCGGGCAGCCCGCTGAACCCTCCCGGTCCGCCCGACTCCTGGAGTCCGGATCGCCCTTTTACTATCGATATCGATCATGATGATGACAATCAGGACCCAGGGCAACAGGATGAAGAAGCGGCTGAAAAACACTGATTTCATGGCGAGGCTTAAGTTACCATAGGCTCCTCACTCCATCACAAACAGAGGAACGACACTCCAAGAACCCTTCGTTTAAATCCTTTGATGTTCTCAACCAAACAGCAGAAATAGGTTCATTTAAAACAACGTAAAACCGTTCCCCCGTCCCAGCGGGACCGTTTCCCCGGACTCCCCCTCCTCCTCCTCCTGCCTCTCTCCTCTACTCTCGAATGGGACTTGAGTGCTTCTTCGTCGTCCTACCCTCCTCCAGCTCACTCTCTCATGAGCCCGGTTACATTCCCATGTTGTGCGGTCCTTCACTGCTATTTCCAGAGGAGAAACAACCAGCCGGAGCGGAGAGGTCCTCCGTGCAGCGGGCGGTGAGAAGCCACCGATGAGCGCCGCCTCGGAGCATCACTTGGCGGGGACGGAGCCCTGCTCTGAGTGAGGAGGAGGAGGAGGGCGGAGCAGGTGCACAGCGAGGAGGAGAGGCGGAATAGAGGAGAGAATCTGGGGAGGGAAAGAGCGAGCCAGAGGAGAGAAAGAGGGGGGGGCTCTGAACTGATAGAGAGGCGGAGAGACAAAGAGACGCAGAGAGAGAGGGGGAGAGAAAGAGAGAGAGAGTCCTATTTTATACTGTGTTTGTCAAATGTTTAATAATGAAAATTGCACCTCGAGGGGTCTTTATGAAAAGTTCTGTGGTCAAAAGACACATTTCATTTCATAAATTGATCACTCCATCATTAGGCAGTTTATTCTCAAGACAATAACTGAAAAGGCTGTTTGCCGTACTACAAGGCAGAGGATGAAGAAGCACTCAGATCTTGTACTTAAGTAAAAGTATAAGTACCAGAGTGTAGGATTACTCTGTTACAAGTAAAAGTCCATGCATTCAAAATGTTACTCAAGTAAAAATACAAAAGTATTAGATTTAAAAAATACTTAACGTACAAAAAGTAAAAGTAGTCATTGTGCAGATTGGTCCATTTCAGAATAATATATATGATATGTTTTATAATGATTGATCATTAAAGTGTTCTCAAAGCTGGTAAAGGTGCAGCTAGTTTGAATGACTTTGTATACTGCAGGGTAGCTTGTGAATTTACTCAGGTGGAACTAAAGTCTGATTTAACACTTGATTTTAATCCAAATCTGTAACTAAAGGTATTAAATTAATGTAGTGGATTAAAAGTACATTATTTCTCTCTGAATTGTAGGGTAGAAGTACAAAGTATAGCATAAAATGGAAATACTCAAGTAAATTACAAGTACCTCAAAATTGTGCTTAAGTACAACTTGAGTAAATTAATGTAATTACTTTACACTTCTGCTATATGGCAGTATGTTACTGTTGGACCATGATCAGGCTTGGGGAGCAATGGATTATCAGAAATCCTTCATTAGTCCCAAAGCGGGGAAAATGACAGCAAAGTTAGAATGCATGTTTAAAGTAACCTTCCAAACCCGACTACCATCTGACTGATGGAAAAAACTTGTTGATTGCAGCCCTACTTTAGATTCAGCTCTTTGGAACCATCACTTGTTCTATTATATTTGTAATGTAAGTTAATAACATGTTTAGTCATTCTGTTTGACTTTACTGGATATTTCACCGTGTGTGTACAGACATGAAACATGCGGGAAGATTGAAAAAGGGATTTGTGGTGTAAGCTGAAGTAAGTACTGAGTCATTAAATAGATTAGTTGATTTTCAGAAAATGTATCAAATTGCAATTTTTTATGGAAGCTAAATACAAAGCAAGCGCTGATTCCAGCCTCTCACAAGTTATTTTTCTCAGATTTTCGATTCATTCTAATGTAACAGTAAAATGTCTTTGAATTTGTGGTTTGGACAAAACAAGCACTCAAAGGCTGCCCAAAGAACACTGTGGGCATTTTTGCCTACACTGTAAAATATTACCATGATTTCACAATATTTAGCTATAATATTTTACAATAAATTACTGTTACTAAACCTTTACTTAACTGCTATTCTCCAGTGTCCATTGTCTCTCCTCCGGAGACAGGCTCTGTTCTCAAGTCAGAACCAACCAATGGGATGAAGATGATCTAAAGAACAGAAATAAATGGCCCAACTACGTAAATGTGTCTTTGGTTAATCCTGCTGTTTTCAGAACACATTTGTAAACTCAGATTGCGTTTAAAAAGCCTTTTTGAATAAGCATGTTGCAATGCAAACAAACCATTTTTACCCTACAAAGGGCCAGTACAATGCTCAAGTATTTAGTTCTTCAGTGTATTATGCAGTATACACTGAAGAACTAAATACTTGAGCATTGTACTGGCCCTTTGTAGGGTAAAAATGGTTTGTTTGCATTGCAACATGCTTATTCAAAAAGGNGAACGGACTGTATATTTAAATGTTAGCACCCCCCGAAGAGGCTCAAGCTCTTACGTTGGGTCTGGAGTTACAAATAAATTATAATTCATCAGTAAAGTAAAGCCTACGAGTGAGTTGTACATTTCCGCTTGCCATATCAAGTATAAATTATGTGAATGGGTAAACTGGAATTTAAGGGGACAAAGGGTGATCACATAATCAGTGTGGCACAAAAGAATGAGGTCCCCCTTTGGAGCTCTGTGTTTCTTAATTAAACACATCATCTGTGACAAGGCCCTGCCTACACCCACTATAGTGCCATCCAGAAGATGTTTTCCAAAAGTAACAAGTTACTGTAAGGGCACATCTTACAGACAAAGTCTCTGTGTGGGCAGTTTTCTCAGACAGTTTTCAGACAATGCTACAGTATATATACAGTATATATGCTTGGTCAGTCAGCCCTTCAGGCAGCATCATTGTGTAAAATGTCATATCGGTATTTCATGGATATGACAGTTTGAGTCTGATATGATTTGACTGTCATGGAGACTCATGAATGCCAAAAGTGTTAGTGAGTAATCATCAGTTTTTTCTGGTTGACTCTTCTGCACCATACATTGGTCTTGATTGCGAACAATCTATAGCTGTCTTGGCCTCTATGTAGGGCATTCAGTTATAACCTTCAACATATTAGAGAACTAGAGAAAAATCCAACTGTGTGACCTTGTTTATTTTCCAAATAGATCAGCAGCAATCACAATAAAAAAATGGATATGAGACGAAATGATTCATTTTGGCGACTAGAGGTCCTGTAATCAACAACAAAGTCACATTGGGCATTTCAACAAACAACTAAATATGTTTTTTTGTCTATTTGTCCTTAGGAGGAAACCGACACAAGCTTGGAGTATGACATGTATGACAAGGTGGAGGAGAAGAAGAGAGAAAGAATGATAAAAGCAGGATAACAAAGCTTGAGAAAAGTTTGGGAGTGATGCGGTTTGATAGAAGAATGATGAGGATGGAGGAGTGATAATGGAACTCTAGCTCTACAGTGAGAAGAAAGCAGAGAAAGGAATGTGGATGCCTAAATTGTGAATACTGGCTAAATATATCTCTTTCTTCTCACCACCCTTGAAGCCAGTTTTCCATTTGAGAGCTGTGGAATGGTGTGGTGAGTTTGCTGCAAGGGAGGGAGGGGGGNTGGAGAAACCAGCTTGAGTGCGCTAGAATTTGAAAATACACAACTGGAGAAAATCTGCCACTTCCTTACAGAGCCACTCCTCCAACACACACGAATGCGCACATGACCAATGAGGGCACAAGATAAGTTTGTGCACAGATGGAAAGCTGACAGGCAGGTAGGCCATCCAGTTACTTTAGCCGGGCCGGCTCAAATGATCAGTCGTGCTTTTTACAGTGCTACGGCTTCCACAGATGACATTTTGACTTTGCTGATGACTAGCAATCTATTTTGTTTTTTTGCTAAAAAAGTTATTAGTTATAAAAAATACAATTTTGTCAATCAATAGCACTGACACAAAAGCATTGCAAACAAATAAGAAAAGAAAAATAAGTAAAACAAGTTGGAGATTTACTACATCAAAACTAAAGCATTATCTTCAACTAGTGCTAGTTTCCTAACCACCATAAGCAGGCAAACTGCCCTGAGGCCCTTGATCCCCACGGTCCCTGAAAGCTCCATGTTTACAGTGTGTCAATTGGTTTGTTGTGATTTGATGAAGTGCTGATTTTGGGTCCATGTACCTCTAAGGCGCAATATTAACTGAAATGAAAAGCGTAATATATCGTCTGCTGTGAGAAAAGCAATGCGCGCCTGCAGGGCACCTCGGTCCTTTGATGTGGATGTAATGACTAGACTGGGCTTTGTTGACCGTAAATACATTTATATTGCTTGTGAGTTCACTAAATGGAATACTACCTGGGAAGAATTATCTTCCAGGAAGCAAGCCAATGAAAATGCTACTTTTTTATTCTTCTCTTTAGTCTTGTTATTTATTAAGAATGCTCTTGTCGAGGCATAGTTAGCAAAGTTCTTCGCGAAGTGAGTCACTTTGGGTGCTAATGATGGTTCGAGGACTTACCATTAAACCATCATAGACAAAATCTAACACTATTGGGACTCATTCTGAAGCCCAACCAGTAATAAAAACAAACTTCTATGAGATGTTATGTACAAAGCTGTAGACAGAAAAAGATACAAAATAATTTACATGACACTTTGGCACTGAATTTTCCCATAGCAATCATAAAAAACATTCACATGTGTTGTCCCAGAGTTAATATGCCCCAAAATCCTGATTGATAGTGCTCAAGGAAGATAAACACTGCAAATGAGGAAAATAAAACAATGTAAACACCATTTTTGAAAATCTCTCCTTCTCCCGAAATACATCTGGCCTGTGTGTCAGCCAAGTCAGTGTTACAATGGAGTCATACAATGAATTCCAGCTAGAGAGGGAGGGAGGAAGAGATGCAATTTAACAGGATAAAAAGCCACATTGTCAGTCTTGTGCAACACTCATGGTGGAGAATCTGTTTAAAAGTCTGTTAATATGTAACGTAATAATTAAAAAAATGGTTCCAGGCTATAACTTGGGATAAACAGCTTTCCTTAATGAACAATCAAAACCATGCCTGTTGTACTTCTATGTTACCCATGTTACCAGGTGCCAAAGAGCAACATGTAGACTTAAGGTCAAACATTTTGTCATGTAACTCATAAAAAGGAGCAACATATCACTGGAGTACAATGCGTTCAATGTTTGTTCATTAAATTGCTGCTTTCTTTAGGAAAAGTTAAGAAATCACTGGTATTGGCATAACATATTTGCAATAACCAAATAATAAGACAACTTAAAAGTCTTCACTATTGAAATAATAACATTTATGTGCCTGGTAGGGATGCTTCGATCGATCGGCTGCCGATCGATATCGGCCGATATTCACTCTCTGCCGATCGATCGGTGCTCTCTAAAAATGCCGATTGCGAGAGCCGATCACATGACGTAAAATACATGACACTTTTCTCTGTGCGCGGCAAAAAAAGCTCGCCAAAATGGCTTCACCAGTCTGGCAGTATTTTAAGGTGTCCGAAAATGACAATAAAATAGCGGTATGCAGCGTGTGTGTGAAGCAGAAATCCTGCAGCTCCGCCCGCTGTGACGGAC